TGTTAGCAGAGAACATGTCACAAAGTTGCAAGCCAAAGCGGACTTACTTCCGGTTCTTCGTTGCTTGGAGGGAGTATTCTCCTCCGTGGAATCTGCGGTAGTAGCAATTTTCCTTTTGACTTGAGTTTTAGGAGCTCTCCTTGGCAGATCTGGCTTGCTGATCTGGGCAACAATGGCAGATTCCAGGTCCCCACTTTCCTCTGCAACTTTCTTTTCTTCAAATTTTTTGGTGAGTGGTCAAGGAGCCAGAGCAGAAATATTGTCTAGAACACCGAGGAACCAAAGATGGAAATAATCTTGCTACCAACTTCTATAAGGGGGAGTACAACTCAGTCGGAATGGAGGATCTGGCAAGATCATTGTCTGCAAAGTTTTTGTAATTTCGACAAGCTTGGCGGTCAAAACGTTTGATTCCTCAATCATAAATCGAAGAGGATAGCTGTGGTTGAAGGAGAACAGTGGCGAGAATGGTATGTCTTGGCAATATCTAAGTTGCCGACAGAATTGGTTCGGTGCATAGAGCTCCACGCCATATCTAGAGTTGAGAGTATTCAAACTACAGCCAACAAACAAATCCCATGAGGTCACACAAACAGACCAAAATGCTTTGAAATATGAAGATTATCATCGGCCTTATACCATGAACGGCCGTGAGATTTACTTAGAAACACAGCAAAATCTACATCAGATCTGTCAACAGAAAGAGAGGCAAAAAATTTGAAGCACTCCTCAAAACTTCTCTTGTTCTCCACGGCATTCTTTAACATAAAGCCGTAAGTGAGCAGATTTTGAGCTGGTACAGTAGATGAAATAGGAGCAAATGCTAGAAAATAAGAGTACAGTCACAACTGCAGAATCCAAAGCGGCCCACCACTAATGCCTAAAGGATGAGTTGTGACATCTTGGCAACTCCTATATAAATAAGCAAGCAGAAAATGACCTAGAGCTAATTGTCTACCATGTGCTAAAGCAGCAGCTAAGGGGATAAATTCTTTAGTAGGACCTCTACTAGCAGAGCAAACTATATATTTGCAGATTAAAGTAAGCAGAAATGAAATGTGCTCTTCAGCATTGATAGGCTTACTTTTGTCATAGGCAGATCTCACAAAAGCTGGATAAGAGGGCTTCAAATCTATGTTGTACTCAACACCTGGTGGCAAAGTTCATAATGCTGAAATCTCTTCTCCTGTGCAAGGCAATCCAGTTAATGAACTAATATTAAAAAGGCTCACAGACATGGCTCCACAAGGAAAATGAAAGCAATTAAAATAGCTAGACCAAAACAACAAAGCCGAACCCAAGATCGGCTTATCCATGTTGAATTTGCATTTGGATAATTGTATGAATTCAAACAAACCCACATCTTTCCAAATCTAGCCAAAAGTAGGTTCAAGGCGATTTATCCAGTCAACCCATTCTGATTTCCTCCAAGCTGGCCAAGCTCCGAAAGATCCAACCCATTTATTCCAATCAGGTTTCACCTGAAAAGTGAGAAGATGTTCTTTTGGCTGTGGGTGAATGGAAGCAAGAGGAGCCGACGGGTGAGACACAAAGTATGGACCAAAAATCTGGGAATTCTTATGAGGAACAAAAATCTGATTTGAATGGCATGGCTTATGGCGTTGGACTATCCAGTTTATGTCATCTTGGAGATTTTGGGTTTGGAAGAGTTTAACCAAATCTGCAGGAGGCGATTTCAAGAAATGAGTGGCCTTGGAACCGGCCATTGCAGCAGATCCAGCAAATGGCAGCTCTTTGGGATGAGGGGATTTGACATCAGCCATGGAAGGAGCAGATTCGGTGGGAATGGATTGTTCTTCTTGGTTGCTGGCCATGGAAGCAGTTTTTGCAGGAGAAGGTTGTTTGGTGGAATCACCGGACATGAGCAAAGCAGATCTACACACACAAAAATGAAAAAAAAAAAAAAGGGAAAAGAAAAGGAATCAACCGGCAGTCACGAATAAGGAGGATTTTTGGTGGGGGCCGTTGGACATGAACAAGGCAGATCTTTGCAAATAAAATTAAAGGAACAACCAGCAATCACCTGTGGGGCAAGAAGAATGTTCGGCGGGGCTGCCGAATGTGATGGGAGTAGATCTGGGCAAGCAACGTGAAGAGAGATCAACCGGCAGTAAATCTTGAAAGATGAAGTAAATGGGTTGTTGATTTTGGTTGGAGCAGATCTGCACAAAAAAAAAAAAAATGAATGAAAGAAAACAGCCGGCGGTAAAGCAAGGCAAAAGTGGAAGGAAAAAAGCCGACAGTGACGCAGTGTGGTACCGGGGAAGACGAAAGGTAAAAGTAAATTGGCTTTTCCTTTCTATTTGCAAATAATAAAAAAAAGGGAAAGGCAATGAGGCAGTGCTGTTGGCCCGTGGAAGATGAAAATAAAATAAAATAAAATGAAAAGTAAGTTCGACCCTTCCTTGCCTTTTAGATTTTGAGAAGTAAAAAAAAAAAAAAGAAGAAAAAGGGAGACAGCCGGCAATGACCCAAGGAAGAGTAAATGAAAAGTAAGTTTGACTTTTCCTTACCATTTTGGATTTGAAAGTTAAATGAATTTTGAAAAAGGAGTGGCTGGGGTTGATCTAGACAATTGCTCCAGGAGATATTTTTGGAGTTGGTTTTAAAGGGAATTTGACATGTGGCATAAGTAATTATGGTGTGGGAGACAATTTATTTAATTAAAACACTTGGATTCATCTTTATAAAACCAAGTGTTGGGGGCATTGTTTACACCATAAATTGCAAAATTTTAAATTAATGTCACGTGTAAAATATTTTTTATTGGTTGGAAGAGATTGAGCCATGTCATATTCGGATTCTGGACCCCATGACAGATCAGCACTTGTGTTGGCAAAATAGGAGAGGTAAAGATAATTTTTTATGGAGTAATTATCTTCTTGAGATAGAAAGGGATAATGGGAGCTGGAAAATAGAAGAAGATTGTAGTTAAAAATGGGGTTTTATCTGATAAGAGTACAGGTGGCGAAATCTACAAGGAGATTAGACCAGGTCAAAAGGTGAGTTGTCCCACTACTTTAAGAAACCACCCATGATTGAGTAACTGTAGAAAGTGAAAGTTACTGCCGCCCCAAGGAGAACAAAAAGGAAATTTTGAAAGGGAGAACAGACGGCCAGCCCTACTCAAACATTTGTAAATTTTCAGACTTTATTTTCTCTGCAATCTGCTTCTAGATTTTGAATTTCAGCACAGATTCCAGTAGAATTAGATTGTTTTTCACATTCCATTAGGCACATGTTTAGTTTAATTTGGGTACAGTTTTTCCTCGCAAACTTACTTTAAATTGCAAGTTATTTAGTTCAAATAGGATTTGTTAATTTTAAGTCACGGTAGTGTTTAAGTCCTTTGAGTTGTCCAAGGCAGATTTCGTAACCCATTCTACAGGAAGGTATCCCTCCCTCTTGCAAATCGTCTGAAGACACAAATTTCATTTTAATCCAATGTTCCTCCCGCCATCTGCAAAGAGGTCGATTGTGAGGAAGGAGAGGGTCGTTGAAAAAGTCCTCCTTTCTTACTTTCAACAAAGTAAGTGGCATGCCCGCATCCAAATTTCACACGTGCGAGGCCATTAGAGGATTTTTGGGGAAACACACACAGATTCTCAGTTTGCCATTCTTTTTAACCACGGAGACCACATTAGATAACCACTCCACATATTTGGAAGTTCTGATAAAACCAACCTTTAACAGCTGCTCTATCTCTTCTTCAATTTTCAAAGTGACTTTTAGAGACATTCGTCTGGGCGGCTGCTTGAAAGGTTTAACGTCTTCTCTAATTGGTAATCTGTGCTCCACTAGATTTCTGTCCAGACCCAGATTTACCTCCTCCGAGGGATCTTGTACTTCTGCCTTCAAATCATCGAGTTTTGCTGGTACTAGATCTAATTCCTCCAGAGTTATCTAATCCTTTAAGTCCTCCTCTTCTCCTTCATAGACTACCTCAGATCTGTCTACATAGATCCGTTTTTCTGCAAGGTAGGCCACTAATTTTCTTTTGATTTCTTCCATAGCCTCCTTTTTCTGGTGCTTCATGTGATCCTTCTTCATGGAATCTCTTCAATTTTAGGCTCCTTCCTCAGCCTAAAAGGAATAATTGCTATAGGGCAAAGAAGTTCATCATAAACCTCCTTCACAGTCTGTCTGTCTAATGCAGATCTGGTGCAGGCAATAATTCCAGAAGGTTTGCCATAACAATCCATCCCAAAGAAATGGATAGTCCCAATATCTTCATCATAAAAACGAGCTTCCACAATATTAGTATTTGCCACAAAAGGCTTGTCAGCTGTTGTCACAACCTTAGTTCTGCCACCGTTCCAAAATATAGATTTATGGTGCAAGGTTGAAGGAACACACTAGCTGAAATGTATCCAATCTCTTCTAAGTAATGCATTATAAGTGCCAATGGTGTCAACCACAAAGAACGCATATATGAGAGTTCTATTTCCAACAGTGAGTTCTACCAACAGAATTCCCCTTGAGCGATTTACCCCACTAGTAAAGTCACTAATTGTCACTCCTGTCTCCATTAAATCACCCAAAGATTTGGCAATTTTGTGCAACATATAGGTTGGCAAAACGTTGACAGCTGCTTCATTATCAACTAGAACTCAATTTATTGGTATACCATCTAGATCTACACGAATGTATAATGGCCTGATATGTCTGGCCATCCTCTCTTCTGGTTTTTCAAAAATGATTTTATTTGCTGAATCCAGATCTCCATCTTCTTTAGCTGGGATCTCAATGACTCCTTTTTCCTCAGTTTGATCTATCTGCTGACAGACTGTGGATTCTTACTGTTCTCTAACTTGAAAAACCAAAGGCAGAGTGATCACCAAACAAGACAGATTCACAAAAAACTCACCAAAATGAATTACATCTGATGAATTTTTTGCTTTATTTGACATGTCAAACTTCGCCTTTAAACCAGTTTCTTCATTTGATTCCATAGCCAGAACTTGAGGTGATGTTGGACTTTTGGGTGGTTCATTCTTTTCTGGAGAACACTGACCAAATGTACTTCCTTTTTCTTTACGGATTCACACTGATTTTCTTCTTGCTGGGAGCGACTTAGTCTGATCTGCCATGCCCCCTAAGTCTGCAATCTGCTGTCGGTGTCTTTTTGCTACCCTTTTACATTATAAGCGCCTCCTCAATGTCCTTGGATTCTAAACCTTAGGGAATTTTGGATGAACCACATCTTCCCACCGTTTGCTTGGAGATCTAAGTGATGGTTTCACCATTCTGGCTTTTCCGCGCGTCCAAATATCGCGGTTCCCTGATTTGCATTATTTTTCTGTTGAGTTGGGTTGTGCACCTTGGGTTTTCTCCCTTAGTATGAGCCTGATCTGACCTGATTTCTGCGAGCCCTTGCCTCCTCAATGACCCACCTCAAATCATCAGTTGCAAGTCTGCGCCTAGAGTATGGCTGAGCTCTGTCTCTAGCAATGCTCCTGAGATCTGCTGCATTCACCCCAACAGACATGCTAGGGAATGGATCTGCATCAACTCCCATAGTTTCTTTGGCTTTATCTAGAAAACATAGAATTCCCTTGTCAATTTTGTCTTGCAAAACATTCCAAAAAATAATGCAATCATTAGTAGAATGTTTCCAAGAATTATAATATTTGTAATATTCTCTATTTCCAATTTCGCCAGCCATTGGGATTTTATGCCCTGGTGGCAACTTAATTAGACCACTCTTCTTAAGGTGGTCAAAAATTTCATTAGTCTTTGAGATTTTAAAGGTGTATTGTTTTCCAGCCTCATCGACATAACACTTTACTATTTTGTTAGTCTACTGGACCACTTTAATCAAATCTGGGCAAACAACTGGCTTGTCTACCACCACTTCTGCCACATCCAGATCAAAGTTAGCGTCACCATAATAAGTTCCATAAGATGCAAATTTCCTTTGTGTGTCATCTCGCAATAAATTTTCATAATAAGCCACATTGTAAGACAACTCAAAGAAATCACGAAACTTCATTCCCTCAAACTTTTTCCTTAACTCAATGTCCAGACCATTTTGTGCCAGCTTGACAAATTCCTGTTCTGGCAAGGCAACTCTGCACTTAAGTCTGGCCTTCCAAAATCTAGAAATGAAGGCCTTAGATGTTTCTCCAAGTCGCTGCACCAGACGAGATAAATTTGCCATGGACACTTCTGGCTCACTACGGTAAAACTGGATATGGAAAAGATCCTCCATCTGCTTCCAAGTATAAACTGAATTCTGTGGCAGACTCAAATACCAAGTGAGAGCTATACTAGTTAAAGAGCTGGGAAAAAGTCTGAGCTTTAGATTATCATCACCGAAGGCCTCGCCACACTGAATTGTGAAGCAGCTTATGTGTTCAATTGTAGAATATCCACCATCTCTAGAAAATAGAGTGAATTTTGGAACCTTGAACCTCCTTGGAAAAGGATTCTCTTGGTCTATGAAATCTAGATATGGTTTTCTGTAAGCTGGTTTGACTAGAGGCCTTAAAACTTAGCCATAAGCCTCTTACACCAGATCAATGATCTGATCACGATTGATGTACTGCCTTGGCAAACCTTGAAGATTTTGTTGCATAGGTGGCACATAAGGCTAAAAATGCTCCCTTAGTGGAGGTGCATTATGTTGTAGGTGTCCTCCATTTGGTCGGCACTGAGGTGGCAGATATCTAGGCTACTAGTGATTGCCCAGTTTTGCTGCACACGGTGCAGCCTCAATGGGATCTAGCTGCATTGGTCCACCTGCTACATGCTAAATCTGGGGAGGTGGTTGTGGCAGATTAACTTGCCCCCCAAGTGTTAGAGTTGGAATATTCTGATTCCACCTTTGAAGATCTGCTACTTGTGGTTGAGGTTCAATTCTGGCACGTCGAAATGCCTCCTGCATTCGTTCTGTTTCATCTTGAAAAGCTCTCCAATTTTCTGCATTTTGCTCTTGCCAGATTCTAGCACTTTCTTCATTGGAGCGTGGCATGTTGGCTACACTTTGAGCTACACTTTGGGTCAAATTCTGAGCCAAATTCTGAAAAGACTCATCCAACTGCCTAGCGACCTCTTGGCTTCTTTGTTGAGCTATTTCCTCAAATTCCAACTGTGTGCGCCTCATTATGCTAATTTGTTCTAACACAGCATTCATAAGGAAGTCACCAGATTGAGCAACATCATCTCCAGATTCACTATCCTTGTTGAAGGTTAGATTGACAAAAGAATGCTCCCCAAGTATTGGTGACAATGGTGGTGGAATGACTGGTTCATTCTCTCCTTCTGAGTGTGCTAGACTACCTTCACCAAGCCCAATCTGTAAAGTCTGGGCAGCCTTCCCAACATTTCTTTTTGGTGGCATAATTACACTTTTTCTTGGAAAAAAGAACAACTGATCTGAAAACTGTAAGTAAGACACAGTGATGTCCCACTGGGCGTGCCAAAAAAGGATTGTTTCCCCAAAAATCCTCTAGTGGCCTCGCATGTATGAAATCTAGATGCTGGCGTGCCACTTACTTTGCTGAAAGTAAGAAAGGAGGACTTTCCCAACGACCTTCTCCTTCCTCACGATCGACCTTTTTGCAAATGGCGGGAAAAACGTTGGATTAAAATTGAAATCTGCACCTATAGACGATTTGCAAGAGGGAGGGATACCTTCCTGCAAAATGGGTTACAAAATCTGCCTTGGACAAATCCAAGGACTTAAATACTATCGCGACTTAAAATTAACAAATCCTAATTGAACTAAATAACTTGCAATTTAAAATAAATTACGAGAATAAAATATGCCCAAATTAAATTAAACATGTTCATTGTTAAATTAAAATGCTATCTACTGGTAGATTTTGAAATTAAAATGTTGCAGAATTAAAGATTGTACCCATATTAACATTAAAATTAACGTGAACAGTGATTAAACTAACATGCTTGAAGTTGAAAAGAAGTGTGAACACCACATAAGTAATCATTGAATAAAATATTACTTATCATAAACATTAAATTAATTGCAAATAGAAAGAGAACAATACCTTGCATAAACTTGAAAGATTGAAGTTCATTACAAGAAAGGAAATTGTTGAACTGAATACATGAATTAATTTGCCTACTGGAATGGTGAAAAACAACCTAAATCTACCGAGATTTGTGATGAAATCTGAAATCTGGAAGCAATTTGCAGAGAAAATAAAAGTATGAAAATTTGCAGATGTTTGAGTAGGGCTGGCCGTGTGTTCTCCCTTCCAAAATTTCCTTTTTGTTCTCCTTTGGCCGGCAGTAACCCCCCACTTTCTGCAGTTACAAAGTTGTAGACGGTTTCTTGAGGTAGTGGGACAGCTCACCTATTGACTTGGTCTAATCTCCTTCCAGATTTTCACCACCTGTGCCCTTATCAGATCAAACCCCTCTTTAACTGCAATCGTCTCCTATATTTTAGCTCAAATAGTTCCTTTTTGCCTCAAAAAGATAATTACACAGTAAAATCTCATCTTTATCTCCCATTTTCTGCCCAAATGATAGCTGATCTATCATGAGGCCCATAATCACGAATCTGACATGGCTTAATCTCCTCTATCCATTTAAAAAATTTTTGACAAATGACATGATCTTAAATTTTTGCAATTTCTAATGTAAACAGTTATAAATATAATAATATCAAATAATAGATAAAGATAATAATATATAGAAAAACAAAATCCAATTTGAAGAAGTTGAAATCTTTAATTTTTTATTATTGATGAATTATTTATTTTGATTTCCTAAAGTGCCCAAAAGAGGGTTGTTACCAGAGTGCAAAAGCTCTTTAAATCTGAATTTGAATGAATATTTGTAGAATTTTAGAAAATATAATTAAAATAGATCATGAGACCCACACCAAATAAATAATTATAGGGGTGGATTTCCTGAAAATGGCATAAGGAGTCGACACACTAAAGAAGGTGTTGACACCTTCACTACGTCGGTGAAGAAGAGTCTGCGTCGGGATTTTGGCCTTTGAAATAAATTTTGGTTAATGGTAAAATTACAATTTTGGTCTTTGACTTCTGAATTCTGAACAACTTAATCCTTAACTTTCTGAGCTCTATAATTTGGTGCTAAAAGTTGTGATTCCTTCCAAATAAATCATTTCTATGCAAATAATAAAAATTATATAAAATCAAATAAAATTATATAAAACTCGTCAACAAATCAAAAACTTCACATGAAAGTGTATATAAATTCAGCTCATCAATAGTAATCAAGGCACTTGCTAATACATCTTAACGTCATTGAAAAGTTGCTGCCATAATCCCTTCACAATATTATAGCACTGCACTGGTTACTGTTATTTTGTTTTTATGTGAAGAATTTTCTAAACGTCTACAAACTCACAAAAACTAGATATCTACTTCCAATAAACTTTCCCCTGATTGCTTCTTGACATTTTTACTAATTAACAACTATGCTATATTGCTTTCTTCATTTTTTTTGTTTCATGTAGGCAACTACTAAATATGAATCTCTCAAGAACTTATCACCAGCACTTGCCCACTTGTCTCCACTGTTGATATGGTAAGGCTAAGTATATTATGAAAGCTAACTTTTTGTCAATCTTTCCTGTGAAGGTTTATAATTTTTCACCTAATGATGGTTTATCATTCATTTCCATTGTAAAAGGAGTTTTATATGGAACAA